GCAACCCTCAGTGTCGCGCCCGTACCGGACCGGGACCGGCAACGGGATCGCAACCCTCGGTGTTGCTCCCGCACCTCACTCAGCCAGTGAGCGGGAACCGGTCTGTATGTGGGATCTGAACCCTCAGCGGGAGCGCCGCCGCGCTCTCAAGCGGAGCACTATAGCAGTGCGCCACCGGGCTGGCCCCTCACAGAACTTTTTTAAGTGACTACACTCCGATGTTAAAGGTTGATAAAGCAGGAGCTTTTTTGAAGAGTGAGTTTAAAACACTTAAGTGAATGAATGTTTTACCTCTAGATTACTGTCATCTCACTACAAGCTTTCTGAGAGACAAATTGCTAAAACAGAACTTTTCCACAAAGACTGGCTTACCTCTTAAGGCTAAGTGGGTTTGTGTCCTAATTCCCATATTTAGCACACATTTTTATTTCCTATGCTTCCTTCAGTTGTTGATTACTGTTCATTTCTTTTTTTTTTTTTCCTTTTTTTGTCTTTTTTCCTGACTGGTAACGGGATCGCAACCCTCAGTGTTGTGCCTGTACTGCTACCGTCTACGGGATCGCAACCCTCGGTGTCGCGCCCGCACTGCGCTCAGCCAGTGAGCGGGGACCGGTCTCCACGTGGGATCCGAACCCTCAGCAGGAGTGCCACCGCGCTCCCAAGCGGCGCACTCTCCAGTGCACCACCGGGCCGGCCCTACTGTTCATTTCTAAAAGGCATTTATCCACCTAAATCTAAGACGGTTCTAACAGGCAAAACTTCAGTTGTGTGGAAAACTGGCTGATCTAGGACCACATCTCTGATCAACTGTGTGTACCAAGCACCTGTCACAGTATCAGAATTTTTGTGGGACTGTAAAGTAGTTCACGCAAGGTATGGCCTGTGCCCCTCAATTCTAGTTTAAAGGTATAATATTACTCTACTAAGGAGTAAGGATTAAAGAAAACATTTTGTCTCAAATGGTTAAGGCCTTGGTGTATTAAAAAAGTTCATTATGTGAAGTTCATATATAAAGATGAGGATATTTCAAGTCATTTAACTTTACTCGAAATGTGTTTAATGGGTGTGCCAGCAAGGACAGAGGCCTTTTAGGGTTTTTTTGGTTTGGGTTTTTTTTTTTTTTTTTTTTTTTTTAAGTGCACAGGAAGATACCTACTTAATCCTTCAGTGTATAATAGTACCAGAATTTTATGAACCGGTTTTTAAGGGGCAGTTCAGTACACCTTAAGAAAGTGTTACCCTCCAAACTTAGTAGTACACAAATATACACATATTTAAACACACAATTACGATAAGCCCTTTCCCCAACTTTGACACTAATGAATACTTTCAATAATCTAATAAATTTGTGAAAAAAATTTAATATAACCCAGTTAACAGAACCTTTTTTAAATTTATTTTTTCTAAAATTCATTTCAGAAACAAGTGTTAGAAGTCAGTGTCCCATAAATTATCATTTATAATTAAGTCTTAAGTAAAATACATAGTGAGTGGACCAGTCCCCATGGGCCCTCAATGAGCCTGGATTCACAATTCACTCCCAGCATTTCAGTTTCTACTGTGATCAGATAAACAGTTACAAATTAAAACATGCCAGTTACCAGTCTAGTTATTTAATAACAGCATACTGAATTAACAGCTAATGGTTTATTTCTCAAATTCCATCACACAGAAGTACGTTATGTGCAGTGAGTAGATTACTTGTGAAATCTAATCTACATACTTAAGGAATCTTCAGATAATACAGTCCTGTTTGCAGGAAAGAAGATTAAATGAATAATCCCAGCACTCCTGTCTACACACCATTTGAGAGTGTAGAGGAAGGTGTAAATTAAATGGCTTACACCAAGAATTTAATTTTAATAAGGAATAGCTCCTGATTTAATTTTGTATAAAACCAAAAGACCAAGGCTAGGGGTTTGATATCTATTGGGAACTTGTTACAAAGGCGTTTTCCTTTTGTAGACACAGCCATTGGTGTCTTGACCAATTGTGCCCAGGATCACAAGGGAAGCCAGTGTGCATGCATGGCTGCCTGGAGGAAGAGTGCAGTGTGTGCACTGAGCACATGGCCTGCGGGCCCCGTGCAGCATTGTGGTTACGTTTTATTTATACTGAAATCCCATTTCATTCCACAGAAGGTTTACAGCAAACCACCAGCCTTCATCTACGACTTAAAAGCTGATTCTTTAGGGATCCTGTAGGTGATGAAGGGAAAACAGCTAAAAACAGTGAAAACAGTTTTAAAAGCTGAACACAGTACTTCATTTTTCAGAAACTGTGCACACTAAAGAGGGACTTTAGTCCGTTAATTGAGAAAAGAGGAGAATTCATATCAACCCAAGACTGGAACACAAAGGGAGCTTCGAAAAGGACTTAGGTAAAATCTCATAAAGCTACTTTCCTACCCTTTTCCAGTTGCCTTTTCTGCATGGAAAAGTCTAGTCTTAGTGACTAGGAGAAGGAGGTCGTACATGAAGAACATTCAAGTGGGAAACGCAAACAGCCGGCACCCTGCTGTGGCCAGCGCTCTGTTCACCAGCAGGAAGCTACTGGCTTCTCTGGGCCCCATTTTCCTCTGAAAACCACGGGTTATGCCACGTGATTGATCTCTAGGCCCTTGCCTCTCAAACACTGAGGCCTCCCCTTATCCTTTAGCAAGTCCTTATTACCGTTTGGTAAGTCAGTAGTGACTTTCCCAGTCATCTGCAAGTGGTAAAATCCTATTTACCATAAATGGTGAGAACCGACTCGTCAAAACTAAAGCCATTGTTATTCTGAATTATGATTAAATAATCACTTTCAAAATTAACATTCTTTTGATTGTTAAATCACTTTTGTGAGTCATTTACCATAAGCTGTGTAAACTATGACAAAAAGAACTGCATTCTCTTGTCTTTCTAAACATTCCCAGTTTGTGACACTGAATATGTCCTTCAGTATCAATTAACTTTCTCTTTTGGTAATAAAGTAGGCACAGATGTGTCCACGACAAACCCGTCCTCACAATGCTGTGCCTCACCAGGCTCCGCCGCACGTGTGCTGGTGTCAGCTCCATTTTGGCCCCTATTTTGTCAAAAGTCTAATCCACTCATTCCTTTTCTGGGTAATATGTAGTTATTCGAGAAGATTTTGCTTTGCCCACACACATGAAACAGAGTAAATACAGATCACAGATGTTCAAATTACAAGTCACTTAATAGTGTTTTGAACATTAAGAATGACAACGGCTATTATACAAGCAGTCTTTTTACAATTCTCCCACAAAACAGCTCTGTATTTAGACTTGTTTGTGTTAAGTCACCACACTAGGCTGCCGACTGTCAGACTCGGAAATGGGGCACAGGAGCACGTACCTGTCGCTCAGTGGGCGCTCGGCACACAGCCTGCGGACAAGAGCTGTCGATGCGCAGCCAGAGATGGCCCTTCCTCCGGGCTGCTTGTGTTTACACAGTTACATTCCAGAATAAAGGCGCCCTGTCATCATACTTGGAGAATGTGGATTCTGTTTTTGGTGTTAATCTTCTCATGAAACACCCATCAGCCAAAAAATTTCAACAGATCTTGACATTATAGACATTTCAAAAAGCTGTCAAAAAGTCCCATTTTTCCTACATAACATACATACTAAAACACCACAATCATCAGCTTTAAATGTACGTTTTACTCAGTACACTTCATAGTTTTGAGTATTCAGTCCCTCATGGATATTGTGCAGTGATCTCTGTTCAGTCCTGATGTGAAGTACGTGATTCCGGTTTGATTCAATGTGTATGATTCTGCTTTTCACGCTGATCAAGTAAATTTATGATGTCTTTTCTGATCTTCAGCATTATAAACTAAAAAGGAAAAAAAAAAAAAAAGTAATATTCTAGTATTGAACATTTTGAGAAACCAGCCCAGGCCGGTCCCATTTTGCATAAG